GTTTTTGCACTCTACTGTGGAGACTGCCCAATTGCACATGAAAAAAATCAGAAAGTAAGTCAAAATACTATATAGTAAATGACTAATTTTTTCCCCAGTATTGGAAATTGAACTCAGAACCTTACCACTGCGCTAAATCCCTGGCCCTAAATGACTAAATTTGATGTGACTCACCTGTAAGTCCATTACTGAGCCAGCTAATACAGTCATCAAAAGTTAATAGAGAGGGCCAGGGATTTACCTCAGTGGCACCGTGCCTGCCTTGCAAGTGCAAGGTCCTGAGTTCGATTCCTGGTACACACACACACACAACTTAACAGTGATGATAGGGGAGATGTTTTTGTAATTCATTCTTTCTTCCTCACTTCCTGCCCCTCCCCATCAGTCCACATAGCACCTTCCCTCTGTGGGTTCTTGGATCCTGCTGTGTAGATGAAGGTTTATTAAGAGTGTGCCGTATTTCAGGGTCTCACAAGGAAAGCCTGATTTGAGCTGAGCTTGGAAAGGTGGGAGTGGAAGATGAGGCAGAGGAGCATGACTAAGAGTCATGAGTCAAGAGAAGAATAAGCATAAATGAAGGCCATTCCCAAGTTCCTGTCTGACCGTTCCAGCCTCTCTGCTTCTCTGTGAGTAATCTCAGGGCCAGAATGTTTGATCAGGAAAGGTCTTGGGAGATTCCTTCTGATTCCGAGTTTATCGTAGGTGCTCATGGAGCAGGGGGTTGGTTGTAGGTAGCTCTTAATCCACTTGTTTTGGGGCAGGGGGAGCCTGGAAACGCACCATGCCCCAAATTCCTTTCTTTAACTGATCTGTGCTATAGCTGCACCATTATATTAGTTTCAGCATGAGAAGATTCTCAGAGCTGTGCCTACGATATTAATAGATATTACAACATTAGTAGCACGAATGCTATTACTCATATAAATTATCAAGAACTGCTGTCGCAGCTGGGTGTGGTGGCACATGCTTGTGATCCCAGCACTCGGGAGGCTGAGGCAGGAAGATCTCTGTGAGTTTGAGACCAGCCTGGGCTACAGAGTGAGTTCTAGATCAGCCTCGAATACATAGTGAGACCCTGTCTCAAAAAAATTTTTTGCTGTCACAAGGTCCTACAAGCTGGGTAACTTAACAGGAAGGTATCATCCCAAAGTCTGGGGGATAGGGATCTGAGATCAAGGTGCCAGCCAGGTTGGTCCTTGCCTTCTTCCTGGCTTCTGCTGGTTCAAGGAAAACCCGTGGCCTTCTATGGCACAGTGATGCCCTCCCTGGCACCCACCGCCATGTTCTCATGACTTCTCCCTGTGTGTCCTCTCAGTCTTCCGTTTGGATGTTTCCACGTTTTCCCTTTTTAAAGAGACACTAACCACACTGGACTCTGAAACCCCATCTTGACTCCATCACCTCTATAAGAATGCTGTTTCCAAACGACATCACTCTAATTCTGAGGTACTGTGCATTGGACCTCAAACGTAACTGTTCAGAGGAACAAAATTCAACCTGTAGATTTCACCCACAGGCCCCTCAAAATCCACGTTCTTCCCCTGTGGAAGACAGATTCATCATTCCCCATATCAAAATCTTAATTGTTCCAACATGAATTCTAAGTTCAGAATCCTGTCCTAACCTCAGCAACTCGAAGACCCGGAAGTCACTGCGAAGCCCTCTTCATCCAGGAACCTGGGAAACAAGATCCGAAGAGGGAGAAATTGGGAGGAGAACAGGAGCCACGGGCCTCATAAAGTTCAAATCCTAGGAGGCAGTATTGCACGAAGTCTTAAGGTTTGCAAATAATTCTCTGGGGCTGGATTCCCAGTTGTCTGGGCCTGGGGAGGCACCTCTGAGGCTTTGGCTGAACTGAGTGGCCCTGCTCTGTGATGTGCGGAGGGAGTCTCCGGTCTTGGGATTGCAGCACCAGCACCTGCGTCACTTTTCTCTCCTTTTGGATCGTGGATGTGGTGGGTTAACTAATGGTCAACTCGGAACGCCCAGCTAAGCTGGGTCAGTGTGGTTCTGGGTGTGGAAGACCCACCTGGGGACTGTTGCTAATGGCATAAAAAGAGCACCGGAGGGAAAGAGGATGTGCTGCTGGTTTTCCTGAAGAGGCTTGCCTCGGCTGGATTTCCTGATGCGAAACTGGGTCTTCTCTGTCTCTGGAAATGGCTGCTGCTTTCATCGGGGGAGCTCTGGTCTTCGCCCTGAGCGTCGTTGCTTCCTGGCACCAGCGCAGAAGAACGCTTGGCCTGGTGGCACAGACCCTTCGCCCCTCTGACTCAGACTTTCTGGCTTCCACCACTGGCCTTTGGGCCTTCCCAGTGCAGATCCTTCTGTAGACTTGCAGGAGACGTTGCTGTGGGCTCTAGACTTCTGGCTGGACCTGTGGGGGACATTGCTAGGCCCCCGGCTGCATTGCTCAGGTCTTCAGCATTGGACAGATCTCTTGCACTCCTCTGCATTTGACTTTTTGGGTGAATATTATGAAATAATGCTATACCTTATGCATCCCATATTAAATCTGTTCCCTTGCATACACTGACTACAACCATGGATTTACATCCAATTAGCTCTATCAGCAGCTTTCTTCCCTGGAGTCCCAGAAGCCCAAGCAAGGCTCTTTCCTTCGTTCCTCCTTTCTCTGTCATCTTCCTCTCGAGCCAGCAGGCTGCTGGGTGAGGTGGCTGCTTGGATTCGTGAGCCATGATCGGAGTGTTCTTTTCTAAACATGTGTTGTTCTGTTTGGCATTACAGATAGGCTACAAAATGTGTGAATATTCAAGTTCTGGTTTCTTTTTTGTTGAACAATTCCTTCTTTGATTTATCTCTCTTCCTTCACATTTTACTATAAGGAACACATGGAAAAAAGACTGACTGTGCTTTAGCACTCTGCTTAGGAATACTCAGCCCCACGTCTGAGCTCATTGTTTCCCAGGTCTGCTTTTCTACTTGATAGAACACAGGTTCAGCTCACTTTTCTGCCTTTTTCTAAATGGGATCAGTTTCTAAAAATATTTGTCCTCATTTCCATCTGAAACACCAGAAACCCCTTTAACATTCAAATTCCTAGCAGCGAGACAATAATCTATTTTCCAAGAGATAGAAGCTTTCTCGGTGGTTCTTTTCTTTCCTTGCTAAGCTCCCCCCAGAATCTCCTTCAATGTCAAGATGACAACAAGGAACCAGGCAGAACGAACACGTAAGGAGACCCCAGTGAAGGAAATGGATAATGTAAGACTCAGGCGGGCCAGTTTGATGCGAGACGAAATAACCAAAGGCCAGTGTTTCCGGAGTTAAGTAGTGGGAAAAGATGGGTCACTGTAGAACACGTTGGCTGGAATGATAAGTTTGACTTTTATTCTAATTACATCGGATTTTTAAAAAATTAAAGAAAAATGAGCGTGACAGAATTGCAACCTGAATGGTTTTTCATATGGTTCCACGGCACTAAGGACCTTCACCTCCCCGTGCTCTCATCACCACCATTCAGTTGCAAAACCCTTCCGCAAAACTCAAGCTCTGTACTCATGAGACAACACTGCCCATTTCCTCCCTGCGCCCAGCACTGGAGGGCATTATTGTTGTTAGAATTAGGAATTACACCCAGGGCCTTTGCACTGAATTTCATCCCCAGCTCTTTTTGTTTTATTCTATATTTCATTTTTTAAATTTTGAGACAGGGTCTCACGAAATTGCTAATTTCCCCAGGCTGGGCTCAAACTTTGGATCCTCCTGCCTCAGCTTCCCAGAGTGCGGAGATTACGGGCGTGTACCCCCATGACCAGCAGCATTGAAGGTTTTTGAGCAGGGTAGTCAGATGTGTTTTACATTGTAAAACTATGGCTCCATTTTTACAATCTGGAGAAAATATTGCGAGGCAAGTGTAGAAGTACGGATGGAAACCAGTTGGGAAGTATTGCAGGTGACAGAAAGGGAGGGTGAACTGTTGTGTTAGAAGGCGATGGAGCTGAGAGGGGTTTGGTAGGATCAGATGGCGGGTCATCGCTGGTATGGAAGAGAACCTGACTTCCCTTGTGGACAATATTAAGTCTGTGCTTCCTCTTTGCCATCCAGGGGGCGGTGGCACACGGATGGGTATGCAAGTCCAGAGCTTGGGGAAAAGGCCAGCATTCATGTATTTGAGTAGTAGGAGTCTGAGGTTGTATATCTCAAGTATTTGAACTCTATAGAAAGTAATAAACTCATGGAGCTTTAAATCAGGTTGAGTGATCTTTAATAGTTTATCATCTCTGAATCTTTCTTCCTTCCTTCCTTCCTTTCTCCCTCCTTCCTTTCTTTCTTTCTTTCTTTCTTTTTTAGTACTAGGCATCAAGCCCAAGGCTACAGCAATACTGAACTATGTTCCCAGCCCTTTTTTTTTTTTTATTTTAGTTTGAGACAGGGTTTTGTTTGAAGTTGTCTAGGAGGGACTCAAACCTTTGTTTTTTTTGTTTTTTGTTTTTGGTATCGGGGATCGAACTCAGGTCTTTGCATTTGCAAGGCAGGCGGCAGAACCACTGAGCTAAATCCCTGGCTCAAACCTTTGGCTTTGGGCTCCCTCAGTGCTGAAATTACAGGCATGTGCTACCATGCCTAGCTCTCAGCATACTTTTTTGAAAGTCTATTTTGCAACATGCGGTGCGCTATTACTTGAGAAAGTCACACTGTTCTTTGTTTCCCAGTTGGTCACTAGAGCCAGCATCACAGGTAGGATTCTTAGTAATAGATGTGGAACTGTCAAGGGTCATTTAACTTGTGCTTGGTTGCTTTGGTAGTGTAGGGTTTGCTAATTATTTGAAAATCTCTCTGTCCTTTGAGAAAATAATTCTGGTTTTTGTATGTGTTCCTCTTTGCCATGCTCACACATTTGGGAAATGGAAATAGGGAAGCAGTTGGGTTCTTAGAAAAACTCTAGATGAATGGAACAGGAACTGCAAAATTGGCAAAATATAACGGGAACTGTTGATCTTGTACATTATTGCTTTTGCTTATTTTTTCTCCCTTGCTAGGAGACCTGTTCTGATGATGTGTGTAATACTCACCACACTTCCCAGCTTCAGCTTTTCCATAGCAGTAACTGAGGTATGGAATTTTGATTTCTTCTGCTGCAAAATTTTGAGATTTTAGAAATTTCTGTCGTTGGAATTTGACAGCAGGGCGCCCAATAAATTTCTTTAAATTGATTTAATCCAGTCTTCTTCCAAATTGCAATCTATAGGTATATATGTGCATACATATATACTTATGTATATCAAAAGTACTAAGATCATTATTAGTGCTGTGATTGTCAAGACTCACGTTCAGTTTTTCCAAGAAAATTGATTACTCTTGCTTTTGTGTGTGCAAGATGGGAATGTTATTTCAAAATAACAAAAAGGTAAGAAATTTGAAAGTTGATCTGCATTTGCTTCTTCTAACAACTGGATGTTTCATGATTGTCCTCAGTTCTAAATGGAATATGGCAGTATCCAAAGGAGCAACCTCTGAAACTCCAAGCTGTTTGATAAGATATCCACTGACAGACTCCTTGCACATGACATGTCTTCCAAAACTATGTTTTGATGAAATATAGCTTCAAAAGGACTCTGGTATACATCCACAGGGCAGAAATTTTACAGGCAAAATTAACAGGTTGTGAAAACTTTATTATCCAAAAAGGTCAGAGAAGAATGCTCTATTAATTTGATTAATTTGCAGTGCTGGGAAATAGAAAAGCCACAGCCTGGAGCTTCCCAAGGGCTGTGAAAAATTCAATTTACAACCTCTCAAAGAACAGTGAGCGCAGTGGAGTTTGACAGCTCCTTTTGGTTCTTTTCTGTGATATCTTTTCCTTCCTCTTGTGCTTCCCTTGTCATGGCCTCTCACTGAAATGTAACCCAAGGGCAGAAACATGCACAAAACATCCACAAGGTGTGAGTGTATACTAGCAATGGGGCACTGCGGGGCAAGCCCCAGGCAATGGCTCTTCGGGCCTTGGATACAACTTGGCTGGCTCTACCTGCGCCTCCTTGCAATGACTGCCTTTTCCGAACTCGACTGCAGAATGGTCTGCCTGCTTTGTAAGTTTGTGTGGAAGCAGGCAAATTTTGTACATGTATGTACCTACAGATGTACGCGGTGTAAGTTACGACTGACTTCTTTATATTCCAAAGGATAGTTTGTGCGTTTCTGTTGTGTCTTTATATATAGTTTAGTTCACTCATCTTCATTGTTGGTGGGTGTCTCATTGTATGAAGATATTTATTTATTGTGTGGTACTGGGGATCAAATCCAGGGTGCATGGTACACACACAATCTTCCACTGAGCTTCACCCTCAGCCAAATATCACAATTTATTGGTTCTAGTCTTGATTGTTTGTTTGTTTGTTTGTACCGGGGATTAAACTGAGGTCCTTGTGCTTGCAAGACAGGTGCCAGAACCACTGAGCTAGATCGCCGGCCCCTATTGGTTCTATTCTTGACGTGCATTTCACTTTAGTCCATTTTGGGCCCTTGCCAATAAAGCCACTCTCAGAACACATCTCTTGTACACGCGTGCATGTGTTTCAGTTGGGTAAATACGTTAGGAATAGAACTGATAGGTGAGAACATATTCTAATGTTCCATTGTAACAGTTGGTGCCAGATGAGTTTCCAAAGAGATTATATGAAGTTCTATAGTAAAGAATCCATAGCAGGGCCAGGGGTTTAGCTCAGTGGTCCCGTGCCTGCCTCGCCAGAGCAAGGCCATGAGTTTGATCCCAGGTACTGGGGGAAAAAAAAAATCACTACAGAGAATGAATGTTTGTGTTTCCCTCCATCCTGACGAGCACTCGCCTTGTATTTCTTTTATTTGAACTATTCTAGTGGCTCTATTCTCATTGTAGTTTTAAATGTAATTTCCTCCATAAGTAGCGAGGTTGAGCATCTTTTTATCCTGCCCATTTCCCCACTGGGTTGCTTATCTTTTAAAAACGAATTTGAAAGCCCCATTTCTGTGTGGCAGCCCCTTTTTGGTTATAGGTATTATCAATATCTCCGCACTCTGTGGCTTGCCTTCATATTCTTCCTGGTGTCTTTTAGTGAATAGAAGTTTTTAGCTTAAATAGTCAGGGGCTGGGGATTTAGCTCAGTGGTGCTGCCGCCTGCCTCACAAGTGCAAGATTCCGAGTTTGATCCCTGTTAAAAAAAAAAAATCATAAAAAATAGTACCATTTATCATTTTATTTTGTTTACGTATGTTGCTTCTGGCCCTTTATTTGAGAAAATTTCATCATACCGTGAGCCTGAGCCTCAACACCCTAAAGATATTCCCCTCGTCGTGCTTTGGAGGGACATTACTTTTCTAGTCTCCTTCAGGCCCGTACTGCTCCTGGAACTGATGCTTGTATATGTGGTGTAGTGGAGAATCAAGTTGTATTTAGTTTTCAAAGAACATTCAACAGACAGGGCTCTATGTAGGAAGAAAGCCCATCCTGCCCACACTGGTGCTGTCTTGCTGTTGTTGCAAGTCAGGTGTGCACACATGCGGTTTGTTTCTGGGCTTTTGTTGTGCCCCATTGCTGAGTTTTCCATTCCTGTACTAGCAGACACCGCACTGTCATTTGTGCAGCTCGGTAGCAGCTCTGTACAGCCAGAAGAACGCGTCACCCTGTCTTTTTCTTCTAAAGTGTCTTCCCTTTCTACTTCCACATACGTGTTAGAATCTGCTGAATCACCTCATTTCATGAACATTTGAAAGATTGCTTAAGTGTGCTAGGACCTGCGTGTAATCCCAGCACTCTGGGCGGCCGAGGCAAGAGAATCCCAAGTTCAAGCCTAAATTGGACAACACAGTGAGTTCACAAAACCTAGTCTCAAAATAGAAAAGAAACAAGAAATTTAAAGAGCTTATGTAGTTCAGTGTAAAAGCCTGAGGTTCAAGCCCCAGTACAATCAATCAATCAATCAATCAATAAATAAATATTAAAAATTAAAATAGAATGAAAAAGTTGAAGTGTATTTTTGTACACAATTTTTTGTTATTGATAAGCTATTTTCTGTGTAATAATTTTCCACTCAATGGGCTATTTGTAAGAAGATTGACATCAATGAATATGTCTATTAAATAATACCATCTCCAAAAGTGATTTCTAATTATCTTGCTGTAAGCTATTTTGATAAATGTGAATAAAATGCACATTTCTTTTTTTTTTAATTGCCATTGCCTTAATGGTATCATTTTTTAAAAATCTCAGCTTCTAAATTTTTGTCATTGGTATTTAGAAATAGTTATGCTTTCTATTTCTCTCTCTGTCTCTCTCTCTTTTTTTTTTTTTGTTGTTGTTTTTTGAGACAGGGTCTCACCATGTAGTTGAGACTGACCTGGAACTCACTATGTAGCCCAGGCTGGTCTCGAACTCACAGGCAATCCTCCTGCCTCAGCCTCCTGTGTGCTGGGATTACAGGCGTGCACCACCATGCCTGGCCTATACTGTCTATTTCTTTCTCATGACACATTACAGTGGCAAAGGCCACCAGGAAAATGGTGAGCAAAATGAGTTTTGGTGACATCTTTGTCCTGCTCCTGGTCTCAGAGGGAAATTTTTCAGTATTTCCCCATTGATATGCCACCTGCCCTAAGTCTCCTGCAGGTACCGTGGATAGATGAAGGAAGAAAGCCCACCTGGTGCAACCCAAGTTCTCCCTCCTTGAAAACTCTTGATGCCATGATTTATTTCGCCGGCTCTTTGAGGCTAGACTCTCTGAAACTTGGTTCAGCAGCACAGGTGAAAGGAGTTCACCATTCCACGGGCTCCAGGAGCCTGCTCTTCTATTTTCAAGTGTGTTTACTGTACCTTGTCTTTAATTGAAAACTCTTGCACTGAGATGAACGCTTATTCCATCTGAAGAGATGGTTCATTACCTTGTGACGTCTACAACCCTAAAAAACCAAGCTTTTAATTCTTTAGTTAATGTACTTATAATTAACTTAGCACCGCTTGCGAAGTATTGGAAAACTTTTGAGTAAAGTAAGCACAAGAACTCAATGAGTTTAAAAGGTTTTCTGAAAACAGGTGCAGAGGAACAACAACGGGTCCATTGATTTACTGCCTGATTCCCTCCCGGACCTGCCCGTGTCTCTGGTTCTGCTCTCCTTGATCGTGGTTGACATTCTGGAAAAACTCAGGATGTATCCTCTTAGAGGGAGGGAAAAGAGTAAGTATTCTTGGAAAAGCAAATGGTTTCTAAAAGTTTGATGTGTCTTTCACTTTTCTGCCACTCTGTTATCTTGTAATATGTTTAATGATACTGTATCTTAGGGTTAAGATTACTGATGGAAGATTAAAGATGAAGCTCTCTAAGCTTAGCTATTTTTAAACTTATTTTGGTAGTCAGTTCTTCTTGTATCTTAGTTGGAGTTTGGTAGCGCTTAAAAGTTAATAAAGCTATCAAATATTTAACAGCAAAAATTTAGTGTTTAGCAAGAAAATGACCCAAGTAAATTACTGTAGGTTTTATTTATTTCTAAGAATTCTCTTAAATCTTTAAGTTTAGATGAATACATTGGTAATTCAGGTATCTTTGTTACAGGTAGCACACTGTGTATGAGTCTTATAGTTGTGTCCTAGAGGAGAATTGCATGATTTTAATTGTGGATTATAAAAAAGCCAAAGATCACATTAATAAAACCATGGTAGGTCATATGCCTTCAAAGCGATCAGTTGAAACTGAATGGAGATTGGCCTTAAAACATATACTTTATTATTTGAATATTGTATTTATTCAGTAAAATTCTTTTACTTTTAATATCATGTGGTAATATGTGTTTACTTTGCAATGTTTAAACAGTATGACTTTTGCATGGCTAAGACCTTGTCATGTTGTGCCTTTGACATGCGTAGATGGTGTGAGATCACTTCCGGACAGGGTGTCCAGAGGGTTTCAGAGGGACAGGGATGAGGAGGAGAGCCAGTCATTTGTTCGTGGGCCAAGAACCAGCATCATTCCCTTAGCTTTGCTTCTCACATTAAAAGCTAGACTGAGTTGGGGTCATGAGGAAACCTCAGTGTCTCATTTTCACCTGTCATCGGGTGGGAGATGACGGCACAGGTGACAGATAAGGTGGCATCGGGACCCTGTTAAGGGAGAAGTGCTCCCAAGTCACATCTGCTGTCCAGAGCCAAGTGTTTTTGCCTTAAGCCGAGGAGATTTGGGAATCTCTAAACCCTACATCTCTAGACTCTTGAGAACTGCAGGACTGCTTGGATGATTTTATATTTTCTATATTGATGTCAACTTTCTGTCTAAGTGAAAAGTTCTATTTTTAAAAAAATTCACATCTGGTTCTCGCTTCGGCAGCACATATGCTAAAAAAATGCACATCTGTATTCTAAGAATAAGTGAACATCACTTTATTTTTATTCTGATGAGTTGGATTTTTTTTTAAACAGGATTTTCCCTGAATCCAGCCACAATGACAACTTTGAGAATCAAAATAAAAAGACATAAAAGAAGCAGTCAGTCTTGGGAAGAAGGTTCTAGAACATCTTGTATAACTGCTTCTTCTTAAAGAGCTCCCTTAAACTCCTTTCTGCCCAGACTGAGGGGGATAATTATTATCTGGTTTAATGGCTCCATCAAAACCTAGCTTCTGGGCCTGGAATTTAGCCCAGGGGTCCTGCCACCTGCCTCACAAGCTTAAAGATCTGAGTTTGATCCCCAGTATCAAAAAACAAGCCCCCCCCAAAAACCTAGCTTCTACTCAAAATATCTTTATGAATATTGATGGTGCATATACTTATTTTTTATGCAAGCTTTCAACTCATATTAGTAAAAATATGCATATTAATAAAATATGCATATCAGTAAAATAAATTATGTAAATTTTGAATCCATGGGGTATTCTTTCTCATTTATCCCCTGGAACTTAAACACATTAACATATAAATCTCAATGCACGATAGGATTCTAAGCAAGCATGATGTAAATATGGTGTCATTACATGTGTTACTTTTAGAATCGAAGAAATAGGGTAGGATGGGATGATGAGCAAGATTTAGATATTTGTTTCCCTTCAGAGAGTGTAGAGAAAGTATGTGCTGTGCTCCGTCCAAACAGTTTTATCTGTAGCAGTTTTGACTTTATGCTGGATGAAGCTAAAGAGACATAAAATGCTTGGATTTATGGGCCCTCTTGTGCCATCCCTCCCATCTTAACGCCAAGCTACAACATTTTATCTTTGTGTCGCTTTTCTGTTTCTAAATTTTAAATACAAGTTATTCGACATACAAGACGGGCTGAGCCAAGACAACCTTTTTATTGACTTCCTATCACCAGTGAAAACAGCTCTGTTTCGACGGATCCTTACGCCACAGCTCCTCAGCACATCATTTCATGTAGTTGGAACCTTCATGGAAATATCTTTCTCCCATATAGATACCAGAGCCCTGCTAATTTTCACAGATACACATAGCACCTAATAATATCGATTTGTAGTGATGTGAACAAACGACAGTAGAATTGTGCAGCTCGCCCTTAGTGACCTGTGGGCGCAACGCGCGCATGCTAACATTCTCACCTGAGGTTTGCTCGCTGAGTCTCAGCCTATAATGACCAGCCCCTCATCTCTTCTTCCTCTCCCCTCTTGCTCCTGCTCCTGTTCCGAATCCCACAACCCAGTGTGTCAGCAGCTTTCTGATTTGTGGCTTAGACCACTGAGTGTCCTGCTGGCTGCTTCTGCCTTGCTCTGATAGTTCTTCTATGCAAAACTGAAGTGCTGTCCCCACCCTGCCCGCATGAATAGTCTGGGCTCTAGGCTTCCATCCTCAGTCCTGAGTTTGCTTATCCTGTCCTTGAGACCAGAGCTGATGTTCTGAGCTGGTGCTTTAGACAGATTACCTTTCTTTTGCCTGTTGCAATGCTGATTTCCTTCCAGTGAGTTCTAGAGAAGTCCCAGATTTCTGGAATAACTATTCTCGTTTGCAAACCCAGCTTTTTATCCCCAGAATGTACTGCACCAAAAGATGACACAGGCTTCAATGATTTTAAGTAATCGTCATTTTTCTCCACGGGGAAACTATCATGTTCCCTTGTTGCCAGGGGCTTTGCAGCCGAGTCTAATAGAGCCATACCTTTGTCGTTTAAGGTGTTTCCATCCCATGGGGACTCACAGCTTCTTCTTATAGCAGCCATTGTAATGAACATTATATTGTCTGAACCCTAATGGTGATGAACATTCGGTTTCCTTCTATGCCATTACCTAGAATTCCTTCATTCTTGTGTACAACAGCAGGTACAACAGATACTTGAAGGTGTTCATGGCAAGAGTGGGAGTTTTTAATCTGACCTGTAGGATTTATTTAAATAGCATTTGTAGCATAGCTCGGACATCATGTAACCAGAGGGTACCATAGAGTTTATAGTTACGATGCCATGGGGCTAGAGGGGAAGGAAAACGGCCTAAAGTGTTGGAGCATTGGATGGAGGTCAGAAAGGACAAAAGGGTGTAGCTGGGATTTGTAGGAATTTGTAGGTGGACATGTTGAAGAAAGCTTTTTATATCAAAGGAACTCAGGTGTGCCTATAAGTGAATGGGTGTGTCTGGGAAATAAAAGTAACTCCAGTTGGATTTCATACCCTGACTCAACATTTGTGTTGCTGGAAAGGAAGTTGCCTTCTTAAAACCAACTGTAAAAACCCAAACAAGCAAACAAAGAAACAAAAAAACCCTAAACAAACTATGACTTGTCAAATTGTCATTCTGGAAGCTACAAAACGACTTCAAGAACTGCTGTGAAATCTTGTGGGGAGGGAGGGTTTGGTGTCTATAGAGGCCCCAGTTCCAAAACCAGATCAAGGCAATGTTTGCTTAGGAATCATTTTATGTAAGGTTTCAGGGGCGGGGACTAAAGGTTTGAAAGCCACCCATTCAGTGCCTCATGGAGAGCTGTAGGCCATACCTGTTTCTAGGGCACTGCCAAATTCCCTCTCCAGGCGGGGCTCTCTGCAAGATTAGGACTTTGCACCACCTAGAGGCAAACTGCTCGGGAAAAATTCAGCTTTGCAGGTCACTTTTTTTTTTTTAGCGTGCCATTTTTAATTATTTCTAATGTTATTTTTTCCAGATGAATACATACCCATTTAAAAAAGTTTAAAGAGATTAACAAAAAATAAAAAAGGAAATCAACTAAAATCTTTCCACCTAGAAATTTATGACTGCTAGCTGTTTAATGTACCTTCCTCAGTTAAGAAAACAGATTTTGCCAGGGATTTAGCACAGTGACCCAGTGCCTGCCTCACACGTGCAAGGTCCTGAGTTCGATCCCCGGTACCAAAAGCAAAACAAAGAAAACAGATTTTGTCACTTTTCTCCTTAAAGTATGGTGTGTGTCATTCTTATTGCATCGCCTGCTACGGCATCATTTTTATTCACTGAATGATACTCCGTTGCATCTGCGGATTACTATATGTTTAGCTGATCCTCTATGGTTGGATAAGTGGATTTCTTTTTTTTTTTTTTTCTTTGGGGATTCTAAGCACTGTTGTTAGCAAAGAACAAGGATGCAGTTGGAATGAGAAAGGCCATGGGTGTTTGGATTAGGGTACACGCGTGGTGCAGCAGGTCTGCATTTAAAGCAACCCGGTTCTGGGTGTGGGAGCCAGCAACCCTTCAGCCAGGGGACTGGTCAAACGGAAGCCGGGCACCGAGGGAGTTAACTGGCATCGCCGAGAGCCAAATGGTATCAGGAGGGGGATGCGTTAGAGTGTCCTCGGAATACCCAGCCTCTGCTCGTGCCCAGACTCCTTGGCAACACTGCCGCCAGAAGAAAGTAACTATTACGGGCTGGCTGCACATGCAGAGAAACGCAGAGGGGCTCAGAAGGGGCTTGTAGGGACCGTGTGCAGTGGCCAGGGCGCTTTGGCTAAGCAAGGGCTTTGGGGGAGGTCAGAGACGGCCCATGGGGATGAGGTCAACAGGCTATTTGAGTGGAAACCTCAGCACTGCAAAGAAGGTGCCAGGTATGATGTTGGCAGGGCACGACTTTCAAATAAATCTGCTCACCAGGGCCCCGGTCCAATTCCTTGTGTCAGCTCCTTAATACCCAGGGGCTTAGGACCAGGGCTGCAGGGACCTCAGCGGCAGAGATGACGCTTTCCTTACTCAGGTGCCCTGATGCAATTTCTGGCTCGAAGTCTACACAGGAATGTAAGGATTT